CGAGACGTAACCCCCGACTGGCCGTCGTTTCTCTTTGGTGACAACCTATCTGGACACAACCTTGACAGGTGTGTCTTGTCACCGTACAGTTTAACAAGAATTCCGTAGATATCTTCGATGCGCGTATGATGCTAATTAAGATAGCTTAATAGCCGATTTAATTATATACGATATCTCTGATGATAAGAAAAAAATGCAGACAATCTAAGATAATCTACGTATATATATGAGAAATAAAATAAGAGAGAATTCCCCTTCCTCCCCCCGTAGAAATGCTGTAGATTTGCAGATTTTCTCATCGTTCGAAATTACGAGAAAGGACATCCATTTCTTTTCTTCAATGATTAAAGAGATGCCGACGATCACGATTGTATATGTATATATATTTTCGACGAACACCGTTTCGTAACGGCTACGTTTTCAATCTGCAAGAGATTTTTACGAGAGGATTTTACGAGACGAACGGAACATCGACGTGACGAGATATAGCCAAGTTTACGATATTCGACGGATCGATTCTCCATCATTTTTCTTCAATTCGAAGATGAGTCGCGCTGGACACAATCTCTCTCGTTATTTATCGACGATTATTTCGCGCGCATAGACTTTCCGTACGGCGGGAGGGGAAGAGGATATCATATTGAACAGCGCCTATCCATCTTTCTTCTTCGAGATAATTGATGATCTTCAGATGAAAAAATGATCGGTGAGGTCGGGGGTCAAACGACGCGCGTGTCGATCTCTCTCGCAGTTTCTTTTTTTTTCCTTTTTTTTCCTTTTTTTTCCTTTTTTTCCTTTTTTTTTTTTTTTTTTTTTTTTTTTTTTCCGCTCCTCGCGTGATACGCGACCGCTATAAAAGTTTTTCATAATAGACTCCAGCCATGGCTCGGGTCGCCATGTCTGATCAGAGCTATAAATACGATGGCGCTAAAAACAACATAAAACACGTAAGGCGTATATTAAAATCGACATTAATTTAAATTGTTTACCGGCGATTTTAGAGAAATGTATGAATCTGTAAATATCTGCAAAAATCTGTCTAGAATTAATACTATAAATTTTTTTATTAATTTCTTTTAAATAATTTTTTTTTCGATGATATCAAGGTATCTGCAAGAGAATAGTATGTCGATTAAAACCGATTATTTTTTAAATTCATATACCGTAATATTTTTTGAAAAAAGGATAGGAATCTCTATTTCTCTCTCTCTCTCTCTCTCTCTCTCTCTCTCTCTCTCTCTCTCTCTCTCTCTGTCT